TTTGAATGTCTCCAGAGAAGGAGACTCCACCACCTCTCTGGGCAGCCTCTGCCAGGGCTCTGCCACCCTCAAAGTAAAGAAGTTTCTCCTCGTGTTTAGGTGGAACTTATGTTCTAGTTTGTGCCCATTACGTCTTGTCCTGTCACTGGGCACCACTGAAAAAAGACTGACCCCATCCTCCTGACACCCACCCTTTAAGTATTTATAGGTGTTTTAAGTATTTATAGGTGTATTCATGTGTAACGCTGAAGGATTCTGGATTCTCACACGTGACATCGCCGGTGAATTGTTTCACAGTGAATTATACCTGGAAGGGATGGCCAAAGACAGTGGCCACTGGAGTCACCGTTCACATGTCACTAATGACCTCCCAGCGTCACCTGTGACTCACTGCCTTCCTGCAAGGAATTGATTCTTTAAAGCAGCAGTTCTATTTAGAGTTAACTGCCTGGCTCATGCTGTGGGGCTGAGCTGAAACAAAAACAATGACACACTTACTCTCCTGAGATTGCTTTTCCCTCCAATCTTTACCTGCCCTGGGTTCACAGCCGCAGTTGATGCATGGATCTAACCCTTGTTTTACAACACAGTGGTCAATTAATCCATTAATTTATTTCCAGAGGGCTTGGACAGCCATGACCAATTGCTTTGCTCCGTGTGGTGCAGTTTACAACACGTAGAGCTTAAGCAATCGAGGGCAACATTTCCATTTTGACTCAGCTCCGAGATGGAAATGATCTGAACTGAAATGTCTCGCAAACCACTGAAATTGTGTGTAGCAGGGCTGCAAGAAAAAGCAAAGCCTTCAGAAAGCTGTCAGTACTAACATCCTGAGCAAGGAACACATTCACAACAGGACTAAAACCTAGGAAGAATTGTGCTTAAGAACTGTAGCACCAACTAAGGAAGAAGAAACACTGTCATCTGCTATACATGGCCTCATGTTTTAAGCATTTCAAAGTCAAACCTATGTGTATGAGATGGAGTATGACTGTCACCCCCTGCACTATACCAAAACACTGCAAAATGCTGATAAGTGATAAAAGGCAATTCCCGCTGGCTCTCTGTGAGAGCTACTTGAGAAGGGCATACACCATAAATAAATTAAAAAAAAAAAAAAAAAAAAAAA